GCATGAAGGCGGAGCCAGATGCGGTTAAAGGAGGCCTGCGTTTGTGCAGCTACTTCACTTACAACTGTCTGGGTGTAAGTGTTCTTTCCTATGGAAGTTTGTGTCCACCACGGGAAAAATATTTAGGGTAATAAAAGTAATAAAAATAATAAAAGTATTTTAAGTTTTTATCTCACAATGTAAACTCAGAATTTCGAGAAAAGTCAAAATTGTGAGATGTAAACTCAAAAATGTCAAAATTGTGAGATGTGAACTCAGAATTCCCCAAAATGTCAAAATTGTGAGATGTGAAGTCAGAATTCTCAAAAAATGTCAAAATTGTGAGATGTGAAGTCAGAATTCTCAAAAAAAAAAAGTCAAAATTGTGAGATGTGAACTCAGAATTCCCCAAAAAATGTCAAAACTGTGAGATGTGAACTCAGAATTCCCAACAAAGTCATAATTGTGAGATGTGACCTCAGAATTCCCAAAAAATGTCAAAACTGTGAGATTTGAATTCAGAATTCCCAAAAAAAGTCAAAATTGTGAGATGTGAATTCAGAATTCCCCAAAAAGTCAAAATTGTGAGATGTGAACTCAGAAATCCAAAAAAAAGTCAAAATTGTAAGATGTGAACTCAGAATTCCCCCCAAAAAAGTCACAATTGTGAGATGTGAACTCAGAAATCCCAAAAAATGTCAAAATTGTGAGATGTGAACTCAGAATTCCCAAAAAAGTCAAAATTGTGGTCTATATGCTTGTAGTTGTTAGAGGGGGAAAAAATCAGTTTGTGAGAAGTTACAATGACCTTTTTATGGCAGAAACGAGCTTCTATGCTTTCCTGAATGTGTGGAAAGGATGTGCTCAAAAGCCTTCTCTTTCTCACAGTCCTTTAATGCCAGCACTTCCTATCTTTTTAATGTGTGTCATGTAGGACTCTAAGGACTTGTACAGTGAATGTTTACGCAGTTTTTGGAGCTGCCCTCACTGTGACCTTTATATGCCCCTGACGCCCTTGGAGCGCATGCAACATGAGGTCTCCTGCAGGCCACCAGAGGAACAGCAGCCTGAGGAGGAAGCAGGTGAGCACTTATCAATCATTTCCTCTCGTGAACCAGCTTTTGTGTAAAGACTTCGATGTCTTACTTGAGTCCTGCAGTCATGATGCATTGTTGTAGGCCCACTCTTGATGTTTGCAGAAACCCAATAGGATTTTTGTATTGGCTTTAGGATTATTGCAGAAAATAAGCTGCAAAGGTTTATGAATCTTACACGTATTGTTCATGATGATCATTTTCCTTTCCAAACAACCTTTATGAATTTTGAAGTCTAAATTCAATTGCCAGAAGTAAAAGGTAAGCTACTTGACTTAAACAAAACATTTTATCTGATATAAAATAAAATAATTCAACTTATTTTATTTCACCAAGTTGCCAAGGAAACATTTCTCATGCACTAACATAACTAAAACTAAACCTGAAATTAAAATAAAAAAATAATAATAGAAATGACAACAAAACAAAATTATTACAACTTTAACTTAAAAACTAATTGAAAATATTATATATTAAATAAAATTATATATATACACAAAAGTGTATGTCTACACTTATCTTCTCGAGTCATATCAATAATATTTTCATCATTTATTTTAGTAAGTGCACTAGATTTTCAGTATCACTAATCAGTTCTACAGAATAAATGCTTTTTCTTTGTTTTCACAGAGCCTGAAAGTGTAACAGCATCCTCATCGTCTTCATCAGGTCTGACCAGGGTCTATCACTGTGATATCTGTAATAAAGACCTGAAACTCACCTCAACTGAGATCCTCAAACACAAACGCCAGCACCTGTCCTGAGCTCATACATGCTCAGACTTTCAGACCTTCTCTGTCCATCCGGCTCCTCTGTCTTTTGAATCAATCCGCCACATTTTTAAATAAATGTCAAAATTCTCTTGATGTAATTCTTCTACTTGTTTTTAATCTAGTGTACTTGGTCCTGGAATTGCATTACACTGACTGATGCAGCCCCTTGTTGATGTGCGTAGTGCGTACTGAAAATTGGCCTATTGGTCACAGTGATTATTGTAGAAATATCTGACAGAACTGTCAGGAATTTTCTCTTATTTCAATACATGTTTTCAAATATTTTCAATGCTGTTATATCACGATTAATCATGATTAATTGCATCTAACATTAAAATTTTGTCAATATATACTGTAAATATGTGAGTTTGTACACACACACACACACACACATTATATACAAACTTTTATGCTAGGTGCGATTAATCGATTTGACACCACTAGTATGTCCATGTACAGTGGGGAGAACAAGTATTTGATACACTGCTGATTTTGCAGGTTTTCCCACTTACAAAGCATGTAGAAGTCTGTAATTTGTATCATCAACTGTGAGTCACGGAATCTAAAACAAAAATCTAGAAAATCACATTGTATGATTTTTAAGTAATTCATTTGCATTTTATTGCATGACATAAGTATTTGATCTCCTACCAACCAGTAATAATTCCGTTTCTCACAGACCTGTTAGTTTCTCTTTAAGAAGCCCTCCTGTTCTCCACTCATTACCTGTAGCCTATCAAAAAACGTATTGCAACACCAGCCGCCCAGCTACGCTTCCGCCATTTTGGAGTGAAAGCGATCGGCATTCGGCAATCTAGTCCAGTGCAGAGATCATTTTTAGGTTGAAATAATTAGGCTAGGTGATTATTTATACTCACAACAGTTAACTTTATAGCAGTTAAAAAGAAGTTCTTAACCGGGCTTTTACCCCCACATAACTTGAGACACGGAAGTTCAAGGATTTAATTCATTACTCTCCACATTAAGCGTGACAGGTAAGAAAGTGATATCAGTTCATAAAGTTATAATAGACCGTTTCCCGGGACGTATAACGTTACTTACAAAAATAAGTTCAATTAAATAAATTAATTCAGCAAATAAATGTTGTACTAAAATGTAAATGTTTGACAATAAATATATAACAGCAATATAGAATAGCTCTACAGTAAACAGTTTTTTGCAGTACTATCTTATATTAATGACCGTTAAAGCAAGACTATGTAAACAAACAAAAAAACACAGCCAATCTCCAAAGTGGCAATTAGTCATAGGATAACGGACACAGCGCATCAATGATTATCATGTTTGTTGCATTAAAACGTCCAAAATATATTTCAGGCCAAGTGGAGTTGTTGGTAACTAATAATAGTAGTAAAAGTGTAAAGTTGCATACAATGGAAATACTCACTAATGCAAGAAAAAAAACTACCTCAAAAAACTGTTATCTGTGCTGTTGTCCAGTAACTCTAGTTGGAATTTTCACCCCGATATGGCGGCCGCGCTACCGAAGCGCCATCTAGTGGCTGTTACCAAAAAGCATCTGTTTGAACCCGTTACCTGCATAAAAGACACCTGTCCACACACTCAAACAGACTCCAACCTTTCCACAATGGCCACGGCCAGAGAGCTGTGTAAGGACATCCGATAGAACTGTAGACCTGCACAAGGCTGGGATGGGTTATAGGAAAATAGACAAGCAGCTTGGTGAGAAGGCAACAACGGGTGGCGCAATCTTTAGAAAATGGAAAAAGTTCAAGATGACGGCCAATCTCCCTCGTTCATGGGGCTCCATGCAAGATCTCACCTCGTGGGGCATCAATGATCATGAGGAAGGTGATCAATGGTCAATGACCTGTAGAGAGCTGGGACTGGGAGCACAGTCTCAAAGAAAACCATTTGTAGCACACAAGCCAGCGCATGTCCAGGCCTGTCCAAAGTTTGCCAATGAACATCTGGATGATCCAGAGGAGGAATGGGAGAAGGTCATGTGGTCTAATGACAAAAATTGAGCTTTTTGCTCTAAACTCCACTCGCCGTGTTTGGAGGAAGGAGAATACCACCCCAACCGTGAAGCATGGAGGGTGAAATATCATTCTTTGGGGATGCCTTTCTGAAAAGGGGACAGTTCGACTGCACCGTATTGAGGGAGGATGGATGGGGTCATGTATTGCGAGATGTTGGCCAACAACCTCCTTCCCTCAGGAGAATTGAAGATGGGTCGTGGCTGGGTATTCCAGCTGAACAATGACCAGAAACACACAGCCAGGGCAACTAAGGAGTGGCTCTGTAAGAAGCATTTCAAGGTCCTGGAGTGGCCTAGCCAGTCCCCAGACCTGAACCCAATAGAGAATCTTTGGAGGGAGCTGAAAGTCCGTATTGCCCAGTGACAGCCCCGAAACCTGAATGATCTGAAGAAGGTGTGTATGGAGGAGTGGGCCAAAATCCCTGCTGAAGTGAGTACAAAACTGGTAAAGAACTACAGGAAACACATGATCTCTGTTACTGCAAACAAAGATTTCAGTACCAAATATTAAGGTCTGCTTTTCTGATGTATCAAATACTTACTGTATGCCATGCAATAAAATGCAAATAAATTACTTAAAAATCATACAATGTGATTTTCTGGATTTTTGTTTTAGATTCCGTGACTCACAGTTGAAGAGTACCAATGATACAAATTACAGACTTCTACATGCTTTGTAAGTGGAAAAACCTGCAAAATCGGTAGTGTATCTTGTTCTCCTCACTGTATGTGTGTTTACACACACACACACACACATATATTTTCAAACTTTTATGCTAGATGAGATTAATCGCGATTAATCGATTTGACAGCACTTGTGTATATGCGTATACATACACACACACATAATGGTTTGTTATATGTAGTATAAATATGAATTATACTGATTTTAATTTACTGTTTTGGAGGAATTGTCATGAAAATGTTTTCTTTATGCAGAATATAATTTCTTAAATTTTTCTGTTGATTTCGGGGCGAAATATGACCTGGACAGTTCTTCGTGAATTCTGTCCAAATCCAAGTGGATATTTGAATGGAGCACAATTCACTATATAACACACCATGACAACACTGATGAGTTATGAGTTACGCCATCCCAGTAGTAATGCACATAAACACATGTAAACACGATTCAGAGTGCAAACTTTTCATTAAAATATAGAGTTAGGGTTTAATTAATGATACAAACCCACGATATGTAACACCTCAAAGCAGCAAATTGGCACAAAGTCAGAGAAGTAAGACAGCACAGAAAATAAAAACCCGTCTCCAAAAATAAATAAAGAATTAGAATAAATATCTCAATAAATATATAAACAGGTAATATTTTCCATTGATTACTTTCAAACTAATAGACACATACATGTTAAAATATGCACATTGGCAGAAATAAACAACCCGAAAAAAGAAAATGAGTATTTAGGTACATCGTTACTCAGAAATTATAGGTTATTGGTTAAATAAATCAAAAGGCACATTTATTAATAGGATGTATGACTAGGGCCCTCTAGGGTGGTCTCATCTCTCAAAGTTCTCTTTTGACCGGTGCTATTTTTGGGTCTTTTTGTGTTTCTCTACTATTCTGCCCATAAAGAGTGAGTGAGTGAGTGAGTGAGTGAGAGTGTGTGTGTGTGTGTGAGTGCAAGAGAATAATTCACGTCTTTGAAAATGGATTGAAATGAGTCCAAATGGACAATGATATGCAATGCATGTTTGTAGTAGATTGAATGGTCCAGTGGTTCATCCTGCTGTAAAACCCTTTTCTTTTAAAGTGACTCTAATGAGCAGTTAATACAACGTTGATTCCTTCGTAACTTGGAGAAACCTCTTGGAATTGGACATTAGTTCTTCCCCATGATCGATGTCATAATTTAGTCGTCGTCCAAAATTGACTACAGGGCTGTGTCCGATTCCCTAACTAACTCCTCATGACTAGCAGCGAGGTAAGACAAGTTTAGCGGAGTTGAAATAGCAGCTTTGAGATCATTTAAAGCAATGTTTCTTAACACTTTGAGGTCCAAACCGTTACGCCAGTTAGTGTTTGAACAATTTAGATGGGCTTTAACTAGGCAACAAGTTCATTTGTCTGTCCACAGTGAAAATGAAAAGAAAGTGTAACACAATCACAGCCAATCAGAACACATTTGATGATTTTGGACCAATGGGACTTTACTGGGGGTGGGGCTAACTGGTTAGGATGCGTGAGGTGAGTACTTCTCTTGTTGCCATACTAACAGATAAAGTTAAAAGTGTTGTGTCTCACACAACAGTCCTTTCTTTTATTCTTTACTTCTGACTAATAATAACAACTAATTTGCACTGTATTTTTGGTGTCGTGTACAACTACATTTCAAGGCCTCGGTTTACATTTGCTGTGCAAATGTTCGGCAGATTCAGGACTAGATTATCTCTTCACTTTTTTTGGTCTGTCTTTTAAATATAGGCCACATTCTCAGTTGTTGGCAAGTTAAACACAACTATACTCTTAACAGAAGAATGAGCATGTATGTGTCCATATGTGGTGAAAGTGGTGGTTTTGGTGAAACTGCCCTCGATCAGACCGTTCACGTTCCCTGTCCTCAAACAACTAAAAGTGGTACAACATCAAAATGTTCTCCTTCACAAATATGTTCTGGCCGAACGTGCGTGAAAAACCTAGCGCAAAGACCATATACAAAACCTCACCACAGCACACAGTCCCCAAAATAAGTCTCTTTCTCTATTTGCCTTACTCTCCTCTGGACATTGAGGTAAAACTCATCAACTTAGAGGTACGAGGGGAGTGTATTTGTTAAATCAATTGCAAAAAGTTCAAGTAAAATAAGATACTCAAAATAGGTCTGATAACATTATCTATAAACATTTCATATTTTCTCCCTAAATTAAAAAAAAACAAAAAAAAAACAGAACCCAAGAGAAAAGAAAACTAACAAATGTTTACACGTCACTGAACCCCATTCACTCCCCACCTCCCGGAGACGACCCCTGACCCCAACGACCAGCAAATCAGAGAGCAACCTCCCCGAACCCATGCACCCACCGCCGGTACGAGCGAGAAGGGTCCGAGCGCGGAATAGAAAGAGCGGAATGCAGCAGACGGATATTGTCGTGAAGGTTTACGTAGGAGATCTGGCTCTGCGGCTGCTCCCGTCCCGTCGCAATAAGCCCCGCCCACACGCCCTCCCCCCGCTCAGGCCTCATCGCACGGCCTTGTGCTTCCCTCCGCAGCAGCCGCATCTCTCCCCACAGCGCAGGCATGCGTGCAGGGGCAGGTAGCAGCACATGCAGGGCACGAAAAGAGACAGCACCAGCAGCGCCGTCCAGCGGGCACAGCACAGCGGGTGCGGCCCGCCGCCCATCGAGTCCTCGCACGAGCACGGCTCCCAGAACTCGCCCTCGGAGTCCGACATGCAGTGGTAGAGCAGGCTCTCTGCGCACCACACGCACGTCCACTGGCGCAGGCAGTGTAGCGCCGGGTCCGGGGCGTCCCGGCAGCGGCCCCGTCCGTTCTCGGAGGCGCTGAAGACGGAGCGGCAGTACACGCAGCGGGACGAGCAGGAGGAGGAGCCCTGTGGGCAGGAGCTGTCGTCGTCCGGAGAGATGGCTTCCCCTCCGCCGCCCCCTCGCCTGCGAGTCCGAGAGCGTGGCGTGGCGAGGGAGGCGTGGATGCAGCAGGGAGAGGGAGAGCCTTTACCCGTCTCCTGAGGGGAGCCGCTGGCCGACGGCACCCCCGGCACGGCGTTGGGCATGCAGGTGGGCGAAGAGTTGCACTGAGAACCTTTGGTGTCCAGCATGACGGTGACCTCGCAGCCTGTGGTGCCCACGCCGGCCAGCTCTTTCTCGAAGCGCACCACGCAGAGCTCGGTCTTGTCCTGGCTGCCGCTCACCACCACGCCCCCCGTCAGCCCGCCCACCTTGGTCCGCGTGGCGCCGGCGCGTCGGTAGTCCTCGTAGCCGCGTGTTCCCCACAGGTCCTTGCAGGGGTCCAGGCTGCGGAGGTCCCCTTCCTCCAGCAGGGAGATCGTGGGCGAGAGCGGGGACAGCGGGGAGGAGGCAGGGGGCGCTGTGGGGGGGGTCGGGGGGGCCGGAGGCGGCGGAGGGGGTGCCGGAGGGTTCAACACGGATGTGACTTGGGTGAGCTGGTGCTGGGCGGGTCGGGTGTGGATCTGCGGTGAGAGAAGGGTGAGGACTGAATGTAACTCTGCATTTGTCTGGATCTATTCATTCCTTCAAAAATACAATAAGAACGCAGCTCTTTCATGACTCATTGACTTAAATACACCAAGTCGCATTATTTCTGAATTTGAATTTAATTTTGATACAGTTAAAAATGCAGGGGTTGATTCAACTGTCATGCTATCACGGTATGAAATTCTTTGGCTGTATTTTGAAAAAAAAAAAAATTAAATCCTACAAACATACTATTTCTGAATTATTAATTCACGATATTTGTACAAAAAATGCTTTTTATCTTAAAAATACAAAATACATATTTAAATAAAAACATTGTGCATTTTTGTAAATAATTACTATGCTGAGTATGTTCATGTGTGTTAAAATGTTCACGTGTGTTAAAATTTTGGACAAAAGAGTTGACGCATATGTATTATTTTGAATGATTCCTCAGGCTTCATATACAACGTTTGACGCTATCAATTCTCCGAGCGGGGCTGCCCTCTTGAAATACCGCCTATGTAGGTTTAGAGAAGACGCATCGTCTTTGGCTGGGTCATCTGATATGGAGAATGTCTGGAGAACGTATCGCTTTACAACCGTCACGTGACCACAGGCTCGGAAGAAGAAAACGAGAAACTGACCGGACAAGAGTCTCACTCGGTCAGGCTTTCACTTAAAATAGGATAAGAATGAGCATCAAACAGAAATAAGCCGGCGCGCCCAGCTCTTAAAGGGGCCACGCATTATTTCCACACGTTATTTATGACAGTAAAAGTACTCCACAGCGACTCTAGGGGTCGCTGTTTGACAAGAACGGAATTCCTACATAGTGTACCTTTAAAATGACGGTTGCACCGTGTGAAATTTCAAGAGTCATTAAATCTACACCTTTTTTGTTTTTTTGAACCATAAAATCGACATGAATAAAAAGAGTATATTTATAAGAACTTGGCATGTGTGTTTATGTGTCTTTTCTATCGTGGAAACACCGTTGACCAATATTACTGGAATCACTAATTACTAATTTGTTGGAATCAATCAACTTTCAAGCAATGTGAATCCTTTACCTGGGCCGGGGTCTGTGTCGTGACGACGTGACCTGTCCCGTACGCGAACTCCTCTGTGGAGCGCACAAAACAGGTGGAGGAGGACTCGCTGGTCACAATGGTAATGGGTTTGGGCAGCATCTCTTTTCTGCTGTTGGACGACGACTCACTCCCTGTATGAGACTGAGACAGACTGCAAGTCATCAAACATGCAGAACCACCTAATGCTAAAGCTGACAGGATGTAGGCAAGATGGAGGAAATGCGGTTTAGAGATGACTAGTTTGGATTGCCTTGTTTTATGAATGAATCGTTCAATCATGACTATGCTTTGACTTTATGTAAAACTGGGCGGTGTAAAAAGTGACCAAGTTGCTAAATAATTAGCAAGATTATATATAGGAAATGGTAGAGTGATTTTATACATTTCGGTTAATATTGATGATTACAAAGACAATTTTCTTTGGAATAACATGCATGCACCTTTAAATCGTGTATAATAAAGCCCGGAACATATATTAACTCTTTCCCTGTCATTCCATGTTTTTAAAGTAGGGGGAACTATTAAGAATCTTCTGAAAGAGTACTGAAACACATTATCAAAACACAGGCAAAGAAGAAGCAGAAACAAGTATGCATTATATGTAAAGTTACATGATCATCAACATTAATCTGTATATACATCAAAACTGCCAAACGTTAATGAATGAAATATCGACCTATAGGACTGTAAAGTCAATCTATGTTTTGATCATCCAAAAGATGTGTGCAGAGGCTCTACTCTTTCTTTTGATATACAGTATTGCTTGTTTAGATATTCATTCAACAAAATATTCTGGGGGCCATGACATTTTTGTGAAAATGCTCAAAAACGCTGCCGGTGGCCTGGCAACTTTTTTTTTTTTTTTTAAACGCTAGCAGGGAAAGAGTTAAGAAAATAAATAGAACTGACTTCAATGTCTATGATGACTTTACAGAGATCTAATCAGAAAGTACTGTAAATCCAACCCGATCTCACGGGAATTCGTAGGAATTTTACGAGGTGGCTAATTCGTAACAATTCTTACGACCTCACTCGTACAAATTGGAACAATTTTGCTAAATCGTACATATTTTACGAATCAGCCAATTCGTTGAATTCGTACGAATGACCTACCCCTGACCCCGCCCCTAAACATAACCGTCACGTGGGTTTAGACAAATTGTACGCATTCGTACAAGTGAGGTCGTATGAATTAGCCACTTTTGAATCGCTCGTACGAATTGGTCGTGAGATAGCGTAGGTAAATCTGAGACAGACGCGAAGATGAACCAGATACTTTGACGTGATAAAAACACTCACTGCTTGACCATCATCCTCGGTGTCGCCCTCTTCAGGAGTGGAGGACGATGGCGAGTCGGATCCTGCAGGAAAATGTTCAAAATGAGCAAAAATGAATTTCAAGAAAGAAAATGGGATCATCTAAAACACATTAGACATTTGCAATATCCTTTCATGGCATCGTCTTCTCTGGACCGGTACATTTAGAGGCCATAACAACAGGGTTACTAGGTATCAAAACTGACTGACACATACTCAATGTTAACTACATTCATTTCTTTGGCTCCAGCTTCCTGTTCTCTATCTTTTGCTGCTCTGTACCTCTGTCCAGCTTATCAAGGACACTTTGAAGCCCCCTCTCGAAGGAGATGGCATCAGCTGGACTCTGGAAGGTCAGACCAAACTTCCTCTCCTCCACACGCCAGTGATGGAAGATGGGGTTCACCTTGTTGTAGACCAGACCCTTTTGAATGGCGCATTCCAGCACAGGCTACATGAAGAAAGAGAGGCGGGTCACTTGCGCGGCACTCGCGGGGGCGACCACTAAATTGCTACAACTACCGGGACTGTCAATCTGAGGGAACATCAGTACACTCAAAGACAGGCATGAACACACACGCACACACTCACTGCTCGATCGCGTAGCCGTTCTCCGCGTATGACGTACTCTCTCCGCCCACGACCTTCAGAGCTCCGCCCCTTACAAATGATCACGTGACTGAGGCCGCCACCTCCAAGGGGCACCCAGCCACCACTAGAATCGTCACGTGTCATCACCACTGCTCGGACACGCACACTGTTAGGGGAGTAAAAGGAGTGAGTGCACTAGCCAGCTGAGCACAAACACCCACACACTCACAGACTTTGCGAAAACGCGACAGTCAGGATAACATATGGAAATATCCTCAAAATAAAGGTAAATGGCAAATTATAGAGACACATTACAGAGACATGGTGTAAAGGAAGTAATGTTTATAACATGCAATATCCACTTAAAGGAGTACTTTCAAAAAAAATGTCATCCAAGATGTCCATGTCTTTCTTTCTTCAGTCGAAAAGAAATTGAGGTTTTTGATGAAAACATTCCAGGATTTTTCTCCATATAATGCACTTCATTGGGAACCAAACGGTTCAAGGTCCAAATGTTTCAGTTTCAGTGCAGCTTCAAAGGGCTTTAAACGACACCAGACGATGAATAAGGGTCTTATCTAGCGAAACGATTGGCCATTTAAAAAAAAAAAAAAAAAGTTTAAGTTGCTCTGTTCTGTGATGAGCGTTCGTGACTCTCCTGTTCGAACTCGTTCATCAAAATGAACAAATCTTTTTTTGAGTCATGACTCGAAGGGTCCTGGATAAGACCCTTATTATCGTCTGGCGTCGTTTAAAGCCTTTGAAGCTGCACTAAAACTCTCATTTGGACCTTGAACCGTTTGGTTCCCAATGAAGTGCATTATATGGAGAAAAATCCTGGAATGTTTTCATCAAAAACCTTAATTTCTTTTCGACTGAAGAAAGAAAGACGTGGACATCTTGGATGACATGGGGGTGAGTAAATTATCAGCAAACGTTTTTTTAAAAGTGAACTACTCCTTTAAATTAGTGTTCGTCGTAAAAATGTAATTACATTAAAAACAAAATAAGTATTTATTTGTTAAAATTGTCGTTCATAACCCATTTTGCTTCATTAATCTTTCTGGACACATTCCCAAGTGAAACTGAATAGTCAATGAGGAAAAAAAGGCAAGTTGAAGATTATTGGATCACAAAAAGTAGATGTTTAAGTGGTTGGACATCATTGGAAGAAAGGCTGTTTCATACAATGAGCAAATTATGACATTTTAAAGAAAAAAATTACAAAGACAAACATGTTATAATTAGAAAGCACTAATGAATTGGCGGAAATTTTCCAGGTACATAGTAGTGAAAATGCCTTAAACACAATCCTCCTTTTTTTTCAACGTGGAAAAATTCAAGCCAGCCAATTGCAGCCATGCAGGATAGTTTGGGGTGGAAAATGGGGTTTGGGGAGGGATCTTTTGCCTGCAATGGGCCCTTTTCACAAACTGTGGTGATGCATTTTAACGGTCAATAGCATCGTAAATCTGTTAAGACTGCTGTTATCAATCTCTCTATATTTTCCTTCTCCTATTGAAAGTTGTGAAAACACTATTGTGGAGTTTTTCTTTTGCTATTTAAGCAAATGAGAGCACACAAAATACACTTAATGTAGTCTCTCATTCACCGCTAGAGAAGTTTACTCAACTATGACGACTTGCGCTTCTGAGAAACCCGGAAATGTGAAAAGGGTCAATGTGGTTCATGTGATGGTCACAGCTGGCAGCAGACACATGACTGGAGGACAGGATGAAACATGTTTGGCTCTTTTCCTTGCCCACGCCATGATGATGTTAGTACAAATCATTTCAGTCAGTGGTTATTTCAATTTGATCAAATATTTTGAAAACGTTTGAATTAATGTGTGAGTACTTAAAATCAGTCAGAGCTAGAAATGTATCTTCATATTTACAGGTAAAGCTTCATATTACGTGTAGACTACTTCCTCTGACCCCCTCAACATCTTATTTTGATGCCCTTCAGGGGGGATCAAGCCTTCTTTGGGGGGAACCTTAATTCGCACCCTGCTTATGAGTGCTCCACAAAAAGAGCCATAATATAGGCCTAGCCTACATTAAACGTGTAGGGTCAATTTTTATGTTGGTGTTAAAGCCGGTGTTGTAATTGATTTTACCCCTTTTGACAACATCTGCCAGATTTAGCCACTAATTAGACACGCCCCTTCTCCCGCCCCAAAGATATGTCAGCAAACCCGAACTTTCTATGGATTGATTGACAGGACGAGATCTCGTTTCTGATTGGCTAAAAAAATGCCAGGGCCGCTCGACCCTACTAGTTTTGAGATTACAGACAGGTGCGATTTGTCAAGAGAGACCCATTTCAGGGATATCTGTCAGGTAACATGCATTTTATGTGTAATATTTAAAAAAATCGTCCTTTAAAATCATTTAGGCTACTGTAAGTAAGTACATTCTTAAATAGACGCGGGGATACAGGTGAATTTTGATTGATTTCTTGAGACAAGATGGTGTGGTAGGGTGGCGAGGACTGATTTATTGTGTTAAACGGAATGAATAATCTTAAATCACTCCATCATGTGTGCTTTTGTGTATTCCATAAACTAAAGGTTCAGTCTAGAATATATAAACAGTGAAGCACGATTATAACAATGGGAGGAAACAGCGCGATTTTTTAATGGACGGTCACGTGGGCGAGGAAAATCTAATCACACTTTCCGCGCGCACACGGAAGAAGCATTTACGGGCATCGCTCATTTCTGTAGAAAAGTGCTTAACATATCCATTCTACGTTCACAATGACACCAATATAAAACAACAAAGGACATAATGGCTCCATATGTTAATATGAGAGGGAGTAGCGCAAAGAAAGAACCCGTAAATAAATGAATGGCCTGAGGGGAATGAATGTGTGGAGATGATGAGGGAGAGGGTGGGAGATGAAGAGTTATATTCCTCCCTGAGATGTATCAATGAACGCGCCCATTAGCCATAAAGGCCCTCATAGCGGTTTTCCAGTCCGACAAGCTCCATTACAATAAACGCTATGAAATCACATCCATTTTGATTCAGAGCCCCATTTGTATTATTTTGAGCGTTTTCCGTTATTATAAGCGATTGCACCGTCATATCGTCCGATCGACTCGCGTTCACGCGCACTCATTCGTTCATCCCGCTGTTTTATGAATGAATAAAACTACATATATGCTACAGCACAGCGAATTCAATGGGCAAATGAGTGGGTGAAAGGAGGATGTGGACAAGAAGAAGAAGAATAAGAAGAGAAGCGCTGGGGGGAGGGGGAGACATGAAGAGGAGGAGGGGGGTGAGAGAAAAATCACATTTCATTCATAAAGTTTGGCTTTAAAAATCATAATGAAACTCGAGACGCGTTGATAAAAGCATCCCTCCGCGCCTCCATCCCGCCAATGTGTTCCCGACGCCAGAAAACTCGCCATAATTCGTCGATTTTCTTCTTTTTTTTTAACGACACGTTTTATAATTCATGGATGTATTTGGTGGTTATACGTGGAGCCTCCTCACACATCATCTTCGAGACAAAAAGCCGTCTCTTACTGCACCCTATTCGCGGCATTGAAGGCGTTTTATATAGTGCACTTCAGATAAGGCCCGTTCATTGGCGTTATTCATCAAATGTTGGATGTATATGGAGAATATGGTGTACAGTGTTGATAGCCATAGCTGCGTAATAGTGTTTATGAGCATCTAACATCAGATGGTCTCGCGTGAGCATCTTACAGTCCATTAGAGGTGCTGCAAATCAATCACTCTGTTCTGGTCAAATAAAAATGCATGGACTTACTCGCCCTCCATGGCTCGGTGTTGCCCGCCGCTTCGAGCTGGCTGCCCCCCGGTCTCTCGTCTTTTTTATTCCCCTTCTTACCGAACACACACACTTGCGCGCGCGCGTTCTCACACTCATACACACACACACGCGCGCGCGCGCGCGCGTTCTCACACTCTCGCTCACATACGCACGCACACACGGTCTCTCTTTCACTCACTCCTTGTGCTCGCTGCTGCTCTCATTTTCTTGTCTTTCTCTGTCCACCTTCATATGGTTTCGGATGGGCTCGAGGATGCAGCAGCCATTTTCCACCGGCAGCATCATCATCATCGTCCTCCCTCTCTCGCTCCCTCCCTCCTTCGCTCTCTCACTCTCTCTCTCTCTTAATCACTCCCTCCCCTCTCTCTCTCTCTCTCTCTCTACCTGTCTACAGCAGTTCTCACACACTCATATTAAACACACTCGTGGATGGACACAGTGTCCCCGAATGGGAGCTGCATCGGTCCAGCGTTGTAGCTGTCATGACATCTGGAGCGATATGGCTTTAAAAATGTCAATGTGCACTAGCAATAACCATTGTTAAATCTGAAAAGATAGTGACTATTAATGTTAGAAAGAGAACTTAAAAAAAATATATTTAATAGTAACATTGTGAATAGTGCACAAACCTAGTTATAGTGCAGCAGAGCCTCAGTACCTTGGACAGCTCTCATACAGCTCTATACGCCATGACAGAATCACAGCAGCCAGTCTCCATTCATCTCCAACTCCCCATTCATGTTCACTGATAACCCACCATTGATAAACAGCCACGCCAGCGTCGAGCCTTTATTACTCAAATAAACAGTCCGTCTCGCTCCCTTTCAGCAATTTGGGGAAAGTACATTAAGCAACACCACGATAGACCTTATATATTAGCCTACATTAAAAGTCATCATCAATTGAACAACGAATGTTTGTGCGCGAATTTAATTGCGCGGTTTAATTCAAATATGTGACCGTTAGAAAAAACAGCCAGAAAAATGCAATATGGAATATATTTATAATTTCTAGATATTTTTCTTTCATCATTCGTACTAAATATTTATTTCTTTTACTTGTTCAATTAGTCTAATGTTCTATATTATTCTTCTGTAACAGCTGTTCCTTTTTAATTTATTAGAACAATACAAAAAGTTACACATTTACACAAACATCCATATATTAATCAAAAAGTCTAACACTATTACAAGTTCACTTTTAATTGACAATGTTCTCCCAAAAGGGGCTAGTCTTTTGTCTCTGGGGGAAAAAAAAATTAGCTTGGACCCTGAACATTTCTTCTTGAGTTTATATATAAAGTTGTACAAGAAAAAATAACATTAATTTTATTTTCATTGGAATAATATATTATCAAAATTAATCATCTGTTTTGCACCTAATACAATTTTACATATCCTAAATCTGTGTTTACACAATTACAAAAAATGATGCACAATAGATTATTTCTCTGTTGGACAAAATAATCACAGAAATAATCAATAATCAACAATTAACTCTTTCAGCTGGATATATACCTTTAGATTAGGTTTAGAATTTATGGAATTAAAATAATAACATAAAATAATCTGATAATATTCCAGTCCCGAAGACAAATGCTTTATCTTATAAAACAGCATTGGTTTTGTATGTTGTAATTGTTTAGCCAAAACAGAATATGGTTCAATATTTATGAAAGTGGAGATGGTTGAACATTTTTTATGCAAAACTATTGCTAGACAAATGACATATAATTCAAAACTTTATATACATAGCCCATGTGACAACTGACCCCATTCTCCTCTAAAATACTTAAGTATGAACAAGAGTTGCCTAGACCAAATTAAAACCTTCCAGAGAGGAAGAGCCCTCAACAGGATCCAAGATAGGAAAGGAAATTGTGTCTACAACCAAAAAGACACCAGTTTGGGTACCAGTTCAGCTCCACGTAGAACCTGCTGAAATGCTAGAAAACATGCGACAGATCGCAGCAAACTCGAGAGGGTGAAAATAAAGACACAGGAAGTAATAAAGGAAATCCAAAATATAACTGACTTTCCTCAAATTGACTATGCTCTGTCTTTTGTTCTTGTGTCTTGAAATGAAATGCAAAATGAACAATTTCAATTATGTTAATACAAGTGTATTGAGTTTGCTCAACTATCATGACAATGCAGCGAAAAAATAATAATAATTCTACAATATTAAGTTTTCAAAAGAGGGTTTCCACAGGGAAGCCAAGAAAAAACATTTTGGGTTCTCCAAAGAACCTTTCAGTTGTTAAAATAACCATTTTTCTTGGAGTGAAGAACATTATTTTCCACTATAAAGAACCTTTTATGGAATGGAAAGTTTCCATGAATGCTAAAGGTTATTCAATCATCAATGCCAATAAAGAACCTTCATTTTCAAGAGTCTGGTTAAATATTAACCAGATATGAGTTTTTGCATTAAATATCTCCTGGTTTTCTTTTACAGAATTGAATTAAATAAGAGGCTTTTCTTATTGTCAAAAGAAGCTTCCCAACAATCACGACAGTAGATGAAGATTGTGAAAGCGCAGGCCCCGGGGATCTGACACCAAAAACACTCAGAAAACCCTCTGCCCTCAACTGTAGGATCTAAACGGGTTGACGTTCCTCCCTCATGAGAAGTGGAAAATCAGCATGAAGGACGAAAGGCAAGACCACAACCACTGCAGACACTTAAAATACTGACCCACACCATCTAGAATCCAGCACTGTGGTTGTCCACATTGGGAGATTAAAAAAGAAAAGCAGTAATACTCCAGATAAATAAATTATCTGATAGTCTCACATGTAGCACATCTACACCCGGCCTTCACAGGAATCAGTGATGATTTCTATTGGAATCGTCAATGTGGTGATACCTCGGCTGGGTACCACAATGAATCCATGGTCCATTCATCTTGAGAACCACCTAATCTCAATACTCAACTATGCTCCACCATAGTACTTTTAAAAAAAGGCCAAGAAAAACAAACCCAAGGCAAAACAGAATGAAACTGAAAGTGTTGGTTGTCTAGCCTGAACATGAACCAAACACCATACAGTATCCATTGCAAAGTGACTTCCTTCTGTGATTGTTCAGACAATATATTTTTGATTTAGAAGACCTACTTACCTCTGATAAATTTTTAATTTTTCTTACATTTGAGACAAATACACTAACATATTTCACAGTAGTTCCTGTATCTACTCACACATGCCACTCACACAGTGCTTCAGAAGACATTTTATAAAAGAGTCACAAAAAAAACATTTTATTTATCAGAATTGTCAATGCCTCGTGACAATTTAGGGGAGGGATCATCCCGTTACAGGACAAAAAAAAAAACCCCAATTAGAAAACATCCGCTAACTTTTAGCTGCAATCATCACACTGTTGCTAGGATACAAGGCAAGGGCAAAAAAAGTATAATAATTCAATGAACACTCCTAGGGCAACAATGAATAAGCAGTGGAGTTTAGCTGATGCTGACATCATCCATCTCAAGCATGCCAGGGAGACACACTTGATAAAAACCATCAAACCAAGAAGAACAACACATGAATATTCAAAATAGGACAGATTAAATGTTTATCCAGTCATTAGATAAGAAATGCAAGAGTGTTATTGAAAACAGATGACATACCCACCAGACAATCATACAGAGAGATCCTGACTCTGGTAGATATTGATATTGAAGTGTAGGTCAAAGCATTCTGGTCTCATCCTCTGAGAGCCATTATTAGCGGCTGTGTCATCCGGTGTCTGAACTGAGTACAGATATAGGGCTACTGTACAATGGTTTTATTTGGATAAACAAATGTGAACCTTTATGTATACATGTGTCTACATCCACACTACACAATCATTTCCAGCTGCCTTGCATACTCGATGACTTGTTGGGCCAGTTCTGTGGAGGGGATGTTCACTTCCTCTGTCTTTTGGTGCTGGGTACTGAATGAGTAGTATCCATCAGGACTCTGGGTCCATCCTCTCTGCAGAGCACAAAAAATATATTAATATATCTATTGATCAAATAACATTGAAGGAGTAGTTCACTTTTTAAAAAAAAAAAAAAAAAACTTTTGCTGATAATTTACTCACCCCCATGTCATCCAAGATGTCAATGTCTTTCTTTCTTCAGTCGAATAGAAATTAAGGTTTTTGATGAAAACATTCCAGCATTTTTCTCCATATAATGGACTTTACTGGTAACCAAATGGTTCAAGGTCCAAAAGACAGTTTCAGTGCAAACTGTTCAAAGGGCTTTAAACGATTCCAGATGATGAATAAGGGTCTCATCAAGCGAAACAATCGCTCATTTAAAAAAAAAAAAAAAAAAAAAAAAAAAGTTTAAGTTTTAGAAGCACAAATGCTCGCCTTGGTCTCTTCTGTGATATGTGTTCGTGACTCTCCTGTTCAAACTCGTTCATCAAAATTAAGAAATCTTTTTTCGAGTCATTTGGTTCATTCAACAAACAAATTGACTTGAAAAAAGGTTTGTTCATTTTGATGAACGAGTTCGAACAGGAGAGTCACGAACGCTCATCACAGAACAGAGCAACTTAAACTTTTTTTTTTTTTTTTTTTTAAATGGCCAATCGTTTCGCTAGATAAGACCCTTATTCATCGTCTGGTGTCGTTTAAAGCCCTTTGAAGCTGCACTAAAAACTCTCATTTGGACCTTGAACCGTTTGGTTCCCAGTAAAGTCCATTATATGGAGAAATATCCTGGAATGTTTTTATCAAAAACCTTAATTTATTTTTGACTGAAGAGAGAATGACATGGACATCTTGGATGACATGGGGGTGAGTTTTTTTTAAAAGTGAACTACTCCTTTAAGATTAAACAAGTATGATGAGTACATGTGATTATTGATTAATCATCTGATCGTGGTTATTTGGTGAGAAAAGTGAAATGATAGTGGAGTCAAGCCCCATTCGCACCACTAGTGACAAAGCAATATGATCCCATTTATTTTCAATGGAGCGCTGGCGACAGTGACCAGTGGTGACAGAATGTAGGCGGGTCAAGCGACGGGAGTCAGTTTGACAGTTTACTGACAGTTTGGGGAGACCCTATTACGAGGGAGGACCTGATTTGTCATGACACAGGAAAGACATGACAGTTCCGGAGCGATTTCACTGTTTTACATGATTTGACTGTCTGTAACCAAATGCATTGATATAATAAAATGATGCTTGGGAAAGAATCACTATATAAATGAACTGTTTAGGACTGCTGCAGTTCATTTGACAGATTCTCTTACATTCTGTTGATTATTAGGGACAAGAAAATCTATTATGTTTTATGATTAGTCAATTTGAACAGTATGAGTGATTATAACTCATTGAATGATTGTTAATTTAGTTAATGACGCAAACACTGAAACACTCTCCAACAGCAAAATGCTAATTCCTAGTCAAATAATTATATCTAGTTTTATATTTTAAAAAAAGCCGCTGGCAGTGTGAACAGGGGACATAATCCAGGGAGTAAAGAATATAAAACAAACTGTTATAAAAGTACAGATACGTCCTCCTTCACTAGAAATAATGATTTGTGGGTTTACCCTATTATATTACAAATAATTGATAAATGTTAAATATGATTCATTTTTAAAGCATTTTTATTATTATATACAATTCCAAGTATAACGCATGTCACATGAAGTTCGATTCAATTGGTCCAGACCAAAAAAAAAATTTGCGTTCACATTGGCATTTTTAACATCCAACTTAAAGATACCGAAGGTAAACGCATAGGGTTGTATTCATAACCTTATGATATATATAATTCGTAACGTATATAACTTCCAAACATCCAAAACAATGCTGTGTTCAGGGCTAAATGCACCTGTTGCATGTAAGCTTATAAAATGTGAAACAAAGTCACACAAACGAAGATCTGCTGCGAGGAGACGCGGTTCTGACACCTGTACCGAACTTGTGATGAGCAACATCGCGACTATGACGAGAAAAAACAGCATTCTGTCCATTTTTTTAATTAGTTTACTCGTCTTTGGTCCCCGATTCGTTTATATTTCATTCGAATCAGGGTCTCAGTCCGATGTTAGGTGCGGGCAGATTTCACACGTTCAAATGGACCGCACTAACAGAGCCATAGTCACACCATAGTTTGCTATAATCGAACCAAACATGCCAAGTGTCAACACACCCGTTAATGTGTAAAAGTGACGAACCAAACAGAACTAAATGGTTAATTGCAAATATTTGTATGACAATTCATTCTCAGCACAAAATTCATGATCGTGACATGCCAATGTTTGCCAAACACATTGAACACTTACTTTCTTTGCATATTCAGTCATCTTTTTTGGAGAGGAAAAGAAAAGCACCCGCGTGGCCTCATTGAACTGAATCTGTTCATATGCTTTCTCTATACAACCTGCAATCTCATCTCTACAAACAAAACACAACATATTTAAATGACCAAACAATCCAAAGCAATGGTTCATCTCCTGTATTTAGTATAACCCTACCGAATGGTATCAAGAAGAATGTCAATGAAGAAGTTGTAGCTCTCAGCAGGGATGTTTCCTTTGGCAAGGAAGACCTTGTTGTAACTGCCTTCCATCAGATACTGAAATGAAGAAGCAAAAAGGTAGGAAACAAACATCGTCGAATGAATTCAATACAAGTGACGAGCAAAAAGTGTCCCACACCTGCTCTAATGAAACTGGGTGTCTGATGTAGACATTGGTCTGGATGTCTTTTGCACTCAATCTCTCCAGCTCTGTGTGGAACTCAGACACTCTGTTCTGAGAGAGCAGGAAGAGCAAGTTGAGACCCAGTAACTGGTGCCTGTAGGCCGACTCGGGCAACTCCTCCCTGCGACGTTTAAGAAGACAGGAAAGTGTGACAGGAGCAAAGAAAAAGCCAGCAAAACAATTCAGGGTAAAACATGCTGAAACTGTGATACAAATGTCAATTTATTCTTGAAAGAAATAGAGAATGCAGTGCATGTTCATTGTATGTGTAATGTATATCTAAATATTTACAATATACACATTTGATGACCTGCTACTGTCTTTAATCTACCTTTTAAATGTGGCATTTCATACACTTATATAGGCAATATAGGGTTTCAGCATGACTTCAGAATGCATTTATTGAAAGAAAATAGTAATATACACCAAGGATGGCTTGAGGGTGATTAAATTATGGGATCATTTGCATTATTGGGTGAACTATTCCATAGTGAGCAAATAGAAGATGTAAGACCAAAAAATGTCATTACTTGTAATCAAAGTAATAACACTTGAGCTGAGCCATGTAGCGTTCAAAGGAGGGGATGTCTTTCTTCAGGATGCTCCATAGTGCTCCGATCTCCAAAACATCTCCTATGAAGAAAAAAAGAGAAAAGAATACATATTAATAAATGACTGAAGCAATTAAAATGGATATACTAAACACAATCGTAAAACCTTCATAAATACTCACTGGCAAGGATAAGTTGCTGTTTGGTTAGTTTGGTCCCAGTAGTTGGTAGAAAGTTCAATTCCAACAGGGATATCTACCAAAATAATCATAATAATAAGAAAAAATTATTCACTACAACATAATGAAAAGAATTAAAATGATACATGACAGATATATAATATGAGATTATGTTAATATAGAAAACAGAATTAATGACAATAGTTGGAATTTATTATTCTTAATTATTCAAAACGTAAAAAATGAGGTTTCGGAGGAAATGTCATTTGTAAAAGTAATAAAAAAACATGATTATATAAATGAATTAAGTTATCAGTTCACACACGCTGTCATTTTGTTCCACTACTGTATGAATTCGCTGCCTGCTAAGTTAGCTAACTTGCTACTTTGGCGTGAAACAAACCCAAAGCCACACTACAGCTCACAAAACTATCAACTGTACTTTATCACATAAATAAGCTAAAACACAGGCATAACTTGTTTGTCGGTAAGTTGAATGGGAATCGACTGGACCGTCGTTCTAGATAGCAGCACTAGCGCTAACTGCTCATCACAACAACCACAGCTCATTTCCGCAGCTTTAGAGTAATGTTACCCTGTCAAATCATCGGGCATACCTTTAACTTGCTCAGGATCTCTCCACATTTATTAAGATTTGGATTCTTTTTATTCCACTCGGCTTTCAGCGTTTCATACAACCCCGCAGTCTCTTTCAACACAGACGCCATGGTGATTCTGCAAAAACGTACGACACCGGTCTGTCAGAATACGGCACTACGCTGTCGTAAAGAATGTTAGTGCTACCATGGAAACCAGGAAACGCGGATTTTTTTTTATTGAACTTTTCCTTATTAAAATAAACAATAAAGAAAGCTAACAAAGAAAGAACGTATGACAATCTCAAAATGTACAATATAAATATTATTGTATTACAAACCAAGATTCACACCTCCCGCACATCATCCAAAAAGACATCCTCTGCACTGTTCGCATGACAAGGGAGAACAAATAGACTTAAGGAGCTCAAAACACTAAAAACAAACTACACCAACTGGCTGCATCACATTACAGAACTGACTGTGACTGTTGTGTACTTTGTAAAGAAAAGGTTACACTTTATTTTAGGGAGTCTTTGTTGCATTGTAATTAATTATACACTTGTGTCCTCAGTAGTGGACATTATATTTTAGTGAATTTCTCTGACACGATGTCACAGACCCAGGGAAACAACGTTTTTAAATTTAGTATTTTTTTCATGTCATTACATTGTTTAGAGCATAAGAATCAAATGGGGGGAAACATATTTGAAAAAATATATATTGTATTATTATGTTATGCTATATGTCTTCTGTAGTGGCCACCAGGACAGAACTCGGTTGTTTTAAAAAAGTAAATGAAATGACATTGGAATGGGAGGTTTTTTTATTCACCAATCAAATTTTAAGTTTCAGGATTTTTTTTAACAAAACTTTGTTTTAAGATGATTCTTAACTGTTATAAAAGATATAACTGAATAAACTGATACCATTTTACTTTATGCAATATGTGGGTAAAATGGCCATAAATGGGCAGTGTCATTCAATTCAACATTAGTAAAATGTTTCTAATATGCATATAAATGTGTTCTGGAGGCAGGATGTAATGAAAAAAGAAGTATAATAACGGGAGTAATATTTGGCAACATTTTCATAATAATATCTAATATTTCATTTTGATATATAGTTTCTTTCCATGTGTCTCCCAAAATGCCTGGTGTCTTGACATGTGTGTAATCAATCCCCTGTTTCGTAACAGAAAGTAATATATTGATTATAAACCCCATAACATTTTCCTGAGATGTTGATTTATAACAAACAAATTGAAAATTAGTCAGATTTTAATGATAACTTCAAAATATTGTCATATTTCCACAAAAGTGCTATTTTGATCACTAAATTAATGTCCGTCATTTTAAAAGACCACAGAGAAGTTGCTATCATGGTGAAACCTCCAACATTTGGTATCTCTTAAAAAAAAAGTCATGAATGTCCTCTTTACGGGACAAAAATCACTCAAATGTAATGTCCACTACAGAGGACAAAATCTATCCCTGGGTCCCAGTTAAAGGGATAGTTCACCAAAATTGAAAACACTCACAATTTACTCACCCTTAAGTTGTTCCAAACCTGTATGAGTTTATTTCTTCCGTTGAACATAAAATCAGATATTTTAAAGAATGTTGGTAACCAGACAGTTGACTCCACCCTAGACTTTCATAGTATTTTTCCCACAATGGAAGTCAATGGGTGGCGTCTGATTACCAACATATCTATCAGAAGAAAGAAACTCATACAGGTTTGAAACAAACTTGAGGGTAAGTAAATTATGACAAAACTTCATTTTGGGGGGAGTTGGAGGGGGTCATAAAGTGGTACATGTGCGTCCTCTGCTGGACACTGCAGGCAGCTGCATTAGTGCAGTAGTTTATTTATAGAACATGAAATAATGAAAGGGCGCAGACAGGTTCGTCTCAAATGAATATTTGTAATAACCTATCGATACAATGTCATCATGAGAATTATCGCGTTACATGCTACTGCTCCGATCGGTTATGTCATTGCTGATAGAAGACGTCTCTATTGACTGTGGGACATGCGCAGTTGAAAGGAGACAAAGAGGAAGGAGTGGATGGCGGATGAAATCTATTCATTGCGTTATTTCTGTCACACCTGTCAAGCACTGGTACACCCGTAAAGGTCCAAGCCACACCCTTTAATGTAAAGAAGCACAACTTCAAATGCGACCAATCAATGGGGGTAAACAATATGGAAGACCACGCCCCTTATACATACTTCATAAAAATCCTTTTTTGTGAGGGGGCAAATGGTTAATTTTAGCCTTTATTACAAAGAAGCCAAACCTCCACTGTAATGCTTGAGGTCGCACCACCCCTTATTTGTGATGTTTAACAAACAGGGCCAATCACAGCCGCAAGTGTTTCATCAAAACAGACTCCTTTGTCATAAAAACATCCGGACCCAAGGTGAAGCTGTACAGACAACTGCCTGTTTGTTATTGTGGAGGGAGCCATCTTCCTACAGTCCCTTCGAACTGTTGTGGGAAATGTGTTTCTTAGAAAGGAAGATTAACAGTTTTAATCATGTAAAAAATAATATGCATATATGAAATTAAAATGGTAATCTTAATGTTGTTCAAGTTAACGTTAAATTTCATTCTCATCGAACGTTCAATCTTTTCCCGTGTTTACAACCTTGAAACAAGATAATGCATTTCCGTTTAATGCAATCAATATATTTCAGTGTTGCAGTGGAATTGACACAAAAATAAAGTATTACATTGTGCCGATGTAAAAGGACAACACGCGTAATTATACGCAATATTAACAGCAACAAAAACAGTGTGGTGTTGTTTATTAATCAGGCGATCGCGTCAGGCCTCTGTTTCCTGCTTGTGAGAGCTGTGCTTGGGTCCTGACGCGGAGCCCGTGCAGGGCCGTACTGGAGACCCCGCGCCGCCTGCACCTCTATCGTCTCGGGTGAGTTTGATACAATGTAGCAATTTCTCTTTAATTCTCAATAACTATTGCAACGCTGCAACATTCGCATGCAGACCTCACCTCTTCCCGCTTCATTTAGCCGGCCCGTTGCATAGGTCGGTTAATAGGTTGAGTTTACAGCGAATTCCCAAGCATACCCCCTTGATCCAGGAGTATTCCAACATAAACTCATATTTAGCAGGGATAAAGATAGGCTACGCAATTGCTTCCATTGGAGTTCGAACACAAAATATTCAACAATCATGTGCACTGGCAACAGTGGATGCGCTCGTGCGGCAGAAATACTACGTGTTTACAGTCAGTTGTTGTCAGATTTGTTCGTATTGCGTCTGTAAACGCACATATAACAGCTAGGAAGCTAGCTAGCCACAGCTAACTGAATCTGCTCCAGAACGAGCGTTAAAAAGCGAATTAAATGCGCTCTATGTTTGTAAAACTATAAAATGGTCGCAAATAAAAGTATCTGCACCAGTGGGAATGTCGAGGGACTTATTACATCTTCACAAATGAGCAAAATAACCGCCGTGTCCTGCAGGTCTAGAGTGTCCATTCACGTCTCCGGTGTTGTTCTGATGCGAGACCCTCTCAAAATGACCTAAAACCAATCTCTGACAGAAGAAGCTTTCGCAGATATTTGTTAATGATGGTATGTGTGCTATTCGCACAGTCTGTTTGCCCCCAACAAACATTAGTGGCGTCCCCGCCTACCTCATCCTCATTTTGTGGTTTTGATTTGTTTAGCTGGAGACTGTGAACATGAACGGGCCAGGGACTCCCCAAAGTCTGACACCTGCGTGAAAATGGGTGTTTGTAACCCTGTAAATCGTGATATTTGACACTCGATGGTGTTTTTTCTGTCTGTAAAACAGTGTGAGATGATGCGCGCGCTTTTTCCCACAGCTCTCGCGCCACATACTGTGCACGAAAGTTCAGCTGTTGACTTCAAAATATGTGAAAGCGTTCACTATTTTATTTTTAGTGTAATAATTTGGTTTTATCGACAGGGAATGAATGTTTTAATGATCTAAGTCAATGCACCAGAAACGTGTATCGTAATGACGGGTTCATATTTTAACATATTAAAAATCAGAATGCTTAATAACAAGGCTTGCTTTCACTTGTTTCTGTTATGTTTCTTTATTTGTGTTTTTGGGTTGAGTTTGGACACGTACGCCCAGTCCTGCACTGATGAAAGATTTACCTGGCAGCATTTTGTCTGCTTTTAATATTATTTGCATTTGTCAACAGTGTGATTTATTCTCTTTATAGCGTCTGAAATGGTGTAGTCAAAAAACTTTTTAATAATGCTGTCTGGTGCTCTAGTTTATTTTCAGTAATGTACATGGTTTGATTCAATTAACAAATTGACTCGCCCACATTTCTATGAGGAAGTACTTGATTGAAGATTTGCTATTGAGGTTTGTGTAATGTTTAGCCGATTTCTATAAATTTTAATGATTGTGCGCTTATTTTGTGCAGTTGACATGGATGATGAAGATGGCAGGTGCTTGCTAGATGTAATTTGGTAAGTTGTTACACCAAAAATGGCATAACTGTGTTTAAGATTGAATTTTAGCCCAAGCTGAATAACATTTTTCTTGTTGTACAGTGACCCAGAAGCACTCAATGATTTTCTTCATGGATCAGAAACACAAGTGAGTACTTTGCGGGGAAAACACACACAAAAAAATCACATTCAGTTTTTCACAAGCTCCACTGTGATGAACGACACATTTGAAAGTGTAACCTAGATGCATCACACACGAAAAACAGCACACTCACCCAACAAGATTTCCCACAAACTTTTCCGGGTTACGTTTTTTTCCCTCTAAATCGGTTGTCCAGCTTATTGATCTTTTCTTTAATTTCAATCCTGATTTTTTTTCCCCCTCTTTGGTTAATTCGTGAATATGAAATACTAATCTAATTTTCCTCTCTTTTGACTCCTGTTTTCTTTCTTGTTTGCTTGACCTTTTAACTTGGTTATGCCTGCATTTTGTTCTGGTTGATTGGTGCACTGTCCTCACTTTGCTCTTCCCTTGCCTTTCCTTCTTTGTCTGCCTATTTGCCCTTTGTGCATCTTCTCCCTGTCGCTTTCACACGCCTGTCTGTGTGCTGTGGTGATTTCTGCCTGTCCTATACCTGGGTATATCTGTCTGTAGCTGGACACTGATGACCTTTTGGATGGCTCAAGTGACCCGTCCAGCTCGTTCTTCTCCAGCACTGGGGTGAGTAATATCCCCCATTTGCGCCAACCTCCTGTCTCCATCCTTTTTTGTAGCACGTGCTCCTCAGCCCCACCATCCAAAACAGATGCATCGTGCACCAGATCTGCATCTACAGCAGTCAGTCCCAAAGGCCTACCACCATCCCAGATCCATCCATGCCATCTAATTCTTGCATCATCCTGAATGTGTGGCTAGGTTGAAGGGCTAACATTGGTCTTTTTGTCTTTTCCAGGGCCACATTCCTGAGGTCCAACCACAGGTTCAGCTGTCAACAAATGAGCCAGGCCTTCCAAGAGTCAGCGTTGATTTGGACTTCCTGGAGGATGATGACATCTTGGGGGGATCGCCGGGAGGAGACAATGGAAGCAATGGTGTTGGGGCCAATCATGAACCCTGTGACATTTTGCAGCAGAGTCTGGCAGAGGCTAACATCACAGAGCAGAGCCTACAAGAGGCAGAGGCTGAGCTTGACCTTAGTTCCTTTGGGTTAACTGGCCTTACACAGGTGGTCCAACCGCTGCCTGATGCTGGGCTGTCAGGAGTGGGCATTGGGGGTGCTACTCAGATTTTTCCAAACCAAGGCACCCCTACCGCACCCTCAAATGCCACCCAAGACATGCTCGGCTCAGTCCTGGCACATCCAGGCCTGCAGCTTCAACCCCAAGTCATGAACAAGGCTATCAGCGTCCAGCCATTCGTACAGCAAGTCGGGCTTGGAAATGTAACCCTTCAGTCCATTTCAAGCCTTCAGGCCTTACCGAATGGCAGTCAGTCCGGACCGTTGGGCATTGGACAAATTCAAGTTGTGGGCCAACCCACCGTAATGACTATAAATTCATCTGGGCAGCAGATTTTGACGAAAACCATGGGTGGCTACCAACTGCATCAACCTGGGCCTGACGCAGCAAGCGCTGGAACGCAGGCTGGGCTTGGAGGCTCTGTTTTGAGTTCAGGAGGTGGACTTTTAATTCAAGGGGGCAAGGCCACTCTTGGGTCCCCTGCCTTAAATGGGCCAGCTGTCAGCTTAAGCAACACAAACACCAACAACAGTGCAACCACAATGGCCACTGCTGGTGGCATTGTGGGTTTCGGCAATGCCTCTCTGGGTGCAGGAATTGGATCTCAAACCCAGTCTCAAGGCCAAATCATGCAGAATGTCATTATCCAGCGAACGCCAACGCCAATTCAGCCCAAACCTCCTCAAGGGGGTTCCATCCCACCCAAAATCTTCAAGCCACACCAACAGCTTCCTGCCCCACACAACTTGCCAAATGATGCTAATAAGGCTCTAGGGGTGCAGCAAATCCCCGTGTCAGCTGGTCAGAATGTAACGTTCCTCCCTGGAAAGCCTGTCTCAAATGTAGTCTTGAGCACGCAGGCTGCATCCCAGGGAACGCAGTTTTCTCAAGCGCTCTTAAGGCAACAAGGCCCCCAAACGTCAGGCAAACCGCTCAGTGTTCACTTGTTAAACCAACAGGGCAGCATTGTCATTCCCTCGCAGACTGTCCTGCAGAGTCAAAACCACCAGTTCCTCTTACCAGGGCTCCAGGCAGGAGGTCAGATCCTGACTCAGCATCCCGGGGGTCACATCATTACCAGTCAGGGGCCAGGGGGACAGCTAATTGCTAATCAGATCTTGACAGCCAATCAGAACATCAACCTGAGTCAGGTGTTGGCCTCACAGGGTCACCCTGGTGCTGCCCATATTCTCTCTGGACACATCCAGCTCCAGCCCGGTCAGATGTTCCAAATGCCGGTGTCACTGGCGCAAACGCAGACACAAGCCCATCCGGTGACGGGCCACGTGCAAACGGTCATCCAGGGCATGCCTATACAGAATTCCCTGTCCATGGAGAGCCTCAGCCCAGCAGTCAGTTTGCAGACGTTGGAGCAGTCCGGTGGCATCCCCAATAACGGTAGCAGTGGATCGACAGCCATGGCACCGTGCCAGCCAGGAGAGGGAATCACAGTATTGGGCGGCTCTACGGACCCTGCTGCTCACCCAGCACAGACCCAACCCCAGGCCTCGATTCTCACGGTTCAGACGACTGCACCGGCTTCAGTAGCAGCTTCGGTTCCCTCCTCTTCGTCCCCATCCCCCACTATGGCCACATCGACACCCTCAATGGTGGGTTTGGGGTCCCAGGCCCAGCACAGCCCAGGAAAGGTGTTCACGTCACCTGGTTCCAGCATGATCCTTAGTCAGGAGTCCCTTCAAATGTTCCTGCAGCAGGTCAGTGTGCTCTCTTTAAACCGTATCTGCTGTTTGTAAACTGTGTCCCTTAGCTAATAAGCTAACATAACATTTGATCCCCAAGCTGACCTCTGACCAGATTGGCTGATTGTGTTACCTACCTCTCCCATTCCTGAACTGATAAATGTACCCATGTTAGGACCAACAGCAGCACGCAGGAAAAGACCCACCTGCTGCTGTGGGTGTACCTGCATCTGTTATCGTCAGCGGCAGCAGTTCTGGTGCCGCCCCTTCAGGCCATGACAACTTCTTAGCTGAGACTCGGCAGAGGCAGAGTCCCAGCCCCTCCCTTGGCCCCGCCCACATGGCGACAGTGGTTAACAAGGTAGATGAGCTCATGCTCTGCACTAAGCCCCACCCACTTGTTGCTGCCACTGCTGCGTATTGGACCACTGTCTCCCAGCAGATCTCCCTCTCTTTCTGTCCCATTGTCTTTCTACTGTCATTGCTCAGACTTGGATGCTTTTATTTGTTCCGTTGCCTGTTTTCATCATTCTTTCTGCATTCTGCACCTTTCACGAATGATATCCTATTCTGTTATTGTTACTGTAATGGTATGCTCATTTTTTTTCATTAGTTATTTAGTCCTATTATTGCATGCTATACCCCACCCCCCATAATATATTTGTTTTTCGCATAATCATTTAACAGGAAGCTTGCCAAACTATATTGGCTCTAATTGGGATATGGGTTGATGCAAAAAAAACAAAAAAAACAGTGCAGTTGTTTCTTTTCAAATGGTGTCACGTGCAATAATAAAACTCTAGGGACCTTATTTTTCAGTTGTGTGTTTGCATCATCATCATGCATCTTCCCATGAGCATGTCATGATGTAGCAATAGCTCTTCCTATTAGTTGTAAATCTTTGCCACTCACTCTACTACTCATTTTAACATTCAGACTATTCACTTCTTCTGCTCCTCACTTTCGGTAACTGCTGTTTTTAACCTCAATCAGCCCTCCCCGCCGCCACCACCACCCAGCACACCCAAGAGAAATTAGACTAATTCCCTTCAAGATCACTTTCAAAGATTTGATCTTGATCACTTGCTCGCTGCCCTGAATTACCTTTGCCCTCTACCAGCAAATCTGTTTTGGTTTATTTAGACTTGTATTATTTTTTTTTCTTGTCTGTTCTCTGTGAACCAATTTTTGTTCTTTGCAAAAATTATGTCCTCACGTCAGTTGTCTTCCCTTCCTGTTTGAAACCCCAATAGTGTCTATCAAGCGAGCACTAATCTTTTACACGTGCCTGATGTACAGTTTTAGATATTTTGTCAGCAGTCTTTGTAAAAACTTTGAAGATTTTTCCTTTCTATTTCTTCATGCTATTATATTATCCTACTTGTATTTGTTCTTTGCTTGTTGTTAGTTGCTATTTGGTGTGTTCACCTCATTTTTGTGTTTTTTGCACTGCAAGTTTTAGCGATGCACTGGAATAAATGTCTTGGTCGAAACTGAAAACCATATTCAGTTTTGTTTTTCTTTCTGCTCTGTACCTTTTGCTTATATTGAAAATGATTGTGAAACTGAAGTATAAAACGGTTATGTAAGAAACTTGTTATTGATAAAGTCTCATCATTAGGAGATTAGTCGATAAACTGGCTACATTAAATGGCAAACAGAATGAATTATAACGCCGTCTAGAGCTAACTGATGTTGTAATTTAGTAATGTGACATGTTGAATATATATCTGTTTGTGTTGTTGCTGTGGTTTCATTTTCTACTATTGAAATGATTTTATTGAAAACATGTTTGTACACAAGCTGTTAATTTCTGTTAAAAAAATGAAAATTTCAGTGCATCCCTAAAAATTCCCCAAATTATTAATTAAAAATATGAACTGGCTTTTTATTGATAATTTTCTCTCCTCCTCCTCCTCTTTCATTCACAGACTATAAAGATCCAAAGCGCATCCCCATCTCAACATGTGGTCACCCCGACACCAACACCCTCCTTGTCTGACAGCCCTCAACCTGCTCAAGTTTCTCCCCTCACCCTCGGGCAACAGATCCAGTCTCCTCACCAGCACCAGCAGTCTCGGCCTCCGTCGCAACCCCAGCCTCAGTCTCAAGCGCAGACTCCCTCTCGCTCCTGCACACCTTCCTCTTTACCGCCTCTCTTCATCATACACAATCAGATCGGAGGTTCTCCACAACCACCACAGCCCGCTCCTCCACATCAGCAACAGCAGCCTCAGCAAATACAAGTGCAGCTCCAGCCTCAAGGTCTTCCTCAGACTCTGCCTCAGCCTACCACCCTGCAGCCAGACATACCTCCTTCCTCCTGCTCCCCGAAGCCTCCACAGCCACTTCCCACGCAATTCCAGTTCCAGCCTGCTGCGAGCTCGTCTCCAGCTCCAGTGGTGAAACAGCAGGTGACTGTGGTGCCGGGGCTGACTGCAGAACAGCAGCATCACCTACAGCTGATCAGTGCGCAGCTGCAGACCATGTCATCCATCACACAGCCCTCTCCTCAACAAAAGCAGCTTTTGGAAAAACTTCACCAGGTATTGCATTATCACCATATACTGTGGAAGCTTGTTTCCACCAATGAATAAAAAGTAAATTAATAAATAATTGCGACTTTCTCACAGTTGCGAGTTATAAAGTCAGAATTGCGAGACATAAAGTCGCAATTGCGTGTTATAAAGTCAGAATTGTGAGATATAAAGTCAGAATTGCGTGTTATAAAGTCGCAATTCTGAAAAAAAAGACAAAATTGCGAGTTTTTATCTCACAATTCTGACTTTTTTTCTCACAATTGCGAGTTTACATCTCGCAATTCTGACTTTATAACGCATAATTGCAAGTTTATATGTCGAAATTCTGACAACTTTTCTCAGAATTGTGAGATATAAACTCGCAATTGCGACTTATGAGGCCAATTCTAATGAAAAAAAGACTAACTTTTTTCCCCTTAGAATAGTTTATATCTCACAATTCTTACTTTATAACACGCAATTGCGACTTTATATCTTATAATTCTGAATATATCTCGTAATTCTGACTTTATATCTCGCAATTCTGACTGTCTCGCAATTGCGACTTTATGTCTCTCAATTGCGACTTTATATCTCGCAATTGCGACTTTATATCTCGCAATTCTGAGAAATAAATTCAGAATTGTGAGATAAAAAGTCACAATTACCTTTTATTTTTAATTCTGTGACGGAAACAAGCTTCCATAATATACTTTATGACACAAGTTTGCAAAATTAAAAAAACTGCCTCTTCTGACATTTTTTTATGGTTATTTGAAAGTTATATAGAGCAAGGATTTTTTTTAACATTCGAGTGACACTGTGGGCTGGGTTACTTTGAAAAAAATGAGGTGGAAAACAGATGGCCATCAAAATTAATGGTTTAAATGACTGTTATGTAGGAATAAAACTCCAAATGTCTCTTTCAAATCTCCATAATTTTATTTTTTATCAACTCTGATAAGATGATTGTCTATTTGCTTCTGATATATACAGGTCCAGCAAAACATTCTTCTCCAGGCTAAGCAGCAAGCTCAGGCACAAGTCCAGGCCTCTCAGCAACAGGCTACAAACCAGTTCAGCAAAATGCCAGATCCACCTTCAGCCCAAGTTGCAACTTCAGCAGCAAGTAGCACCATCCAAGCACCAGTCCAGTCCCTTCTGCAGCAGAAGTCTGTGCTTGTCAAGTCCTCTACTACAGGTGGGCATCCCATATTTCTATCCTTTTAAATGTTTACTTTAAAATAATGATTTAAAATAAGTTGACAATGCGTGATCTTAACCTCAGGTGCAAATGACACTCCATTATTTTCTGCTGGGGCAACAGTGAACCAGGGAGCCACGACTCCAAATCTCGCACAGGCTGTTCAGGTGAGTTAAATGTAGTTGATGGTATTTTTACTGTAGTTTGCTGCTGGACAATCAACTTTTTCAGGTATATTAACTTTACTTGGTGGAGACTGATCATTTTGAATGCATTCTGACTCTGGTTTGCAGGCAAAGCCAGGAGTCATAAGTTCAGTTGGTGGGCTAACTCTGGGTAAAGCTGGTTTGCAGATTCAGGTTTTAGGTGCTGGACTCTCTCAAATGCCTGCACCTCTACAACCCGCTCCTCAAACACAGGTACGGTTCAAAATCACATTACATAAGACTGTTATAATAAACTGATCTGGATGGTGTCTTATTTATGGTAACCTTTTGATATAATTTATTTATTTGAATATAACCTTTTGTTTTTTCACAGACGTCATTAAAAAGGCCCTTTAGTATGGAACCAAGCAAAGAGGCTAGGTAATATACATTTACAGAGTGTAAATTGCAAACATGTTATTAGTAAAAATAAACCTATAAAATGAAGTGACATGCTCGTTATACACAAAGATCAGTTGTTCTCCTACTTATGAGCTCTTGTATCTGTTTGTAGGATGCTAGAACAGCTGCGAAAACAGCAAGGCTCAGTTCTCCATCCTGACTACAGCTCTCCTTTCCACTCGTTTGAGGACACACTTCATCGACTGCTGCCGTACCACCTGTATCAAGGCATGGCTTCGTCCACGGGAGACTACCGCAAAGGTGAACACCTACAGACCTGTAGTGTAATTGTGGGGCACCCTCTTCGGGGCCAGTGTTTAACTCTTGCTTAACTATTGGTTCTCTCTCCAGTGGATGATGAATTTGAGAATGTCTCAAGCCAACTCTTGAAGCGCACACAAGCAATGCTGGATAAATATCGTCACTTGCTTTTTGAGGAATCAAAGGTATCGTTCAAATCTCACTCACTTGACCTCTCTTAATGTCCGGAGCTTCTGAGCCCTGAATTCATTGGTGTCTTGTGTGTTTGTTATTTTGAGCAGAGGCTGGGTCCCTCTGCAGAGATGGTTATGATTGACCGGATGTTCATTCAAGAGGAGAAGGTTGCTCTGAGTCAGGACAGGGTTCTGGCCAAGGAGAAACCAGGTAATGACCCAGTTAAATTTGCATGAGCATTGTCTTTGTTCCTGTTTATAATGTATGTGCCATTGGAAGTGTAACTGTCAGTGTATATTATGATGTTGTGGTATTTAATCACTTTCATCTCTGACTTTTTGCAGAAGAGTTTGTGGCCAATTCGTGTTTGCTGGACAGCAGTGCAGTGAGGCCTGTAAAGGTGGAGCTGAGTTCTGTAAGAGTCACTTCATCAGCAGCAGTCGCAGGTCCACCTGCACCAGCCACACTCGCTCTTGCTCCAGCCGCAGCAGTTGCCCCTGCTTCAACCGCAATCGCTGCACCTACTCCGGCTGCCGCCCCCACTCCCGTTTCTGCCCCGGCGCCCTTCCCTCCTACCAAGCTGGTGATCAAGCAAGGTGGAGGGGGAGCATCAGTATCCTGGTCCACCAGTTCAACCCCTACACCTGCTCCTGTAGTCCGGTCGTCTGTGGAGCCGGTCACACCGAGCGCCTCCTTCAGCCGCACTCCGTCCTCCCGCCCTGCTGCTGATGACGACGATGACGTCGCGCTTCCCCAGCGGACCAGCAAACCGCCCATGAAGACCTACGAGGCGCGCCGGCGAATAGGTTTGAAGCTGAAGATCAAACAGGAGGCGGGGCTTAGTAAGGTGGTTCACAACACTGCCTTAGACCCGGTCCACTCCCAGTCCCAACTCACGCCACAACCACAACTACCGACCCCTGAGCAGCCACAGAAAGTCAAACCACATGTAACCCCGCCCACCACTGTCATTAGAACTCCACCCCCAACTTCTAACCCCACCCCCTCTTCCGCGGTCACTACAGTAACAACACACACAGGTTCTGCCTCCAGTAGTGGGGCTAAGCCCTCATTTTCCTCCTCCTGGTCCTCATCGTCCCCTTCCACGTCTTCGGCGCAGATGAATGGCACTCTCGAACACCACGAGGTAGGTGGGGTCAAGCGGATCCCAGCGTCCACACCAACTCCTTCACTAACCACTTGCCGGCTCCCGCTACGAAAGACGTACCGTGAAAACATCAGTCCACGTCACAGGCCGGGAGTACCGGGAGGAGGTGGCGATACGTTGCCCGTTCTGCCGGCAGGACCCCCTCTTACCTCTTCCCCGCAGCCACAAGGCTCTTCCCCTCAACCTGAACGGACTGTGATAGCCAGCGTGAAACTAGAAAGGCAGGGTGGACACGGGCGGTCTCACTCCCACGCAGAGTCGCAGAGCCTCACAGCGGTGGAGGACGTCCTGTACCGTGGCATCAAAAACGCGTACCAACACCACCGAGAGTTCTCGGACAAAGAGGACGAGGACGAGGCGGAGGAAGGCGGCGGTCTGGGGCGGTTGAAGGCCATAGGGAGCAAATACCGAGAGGGAGGAAGGGGTACCTTCAGGATGGATCAACATGCCCCTGGCCCGCCTTCTCCCGGAGAGTCTTCCTGCACAAGAGACTCCTCACTTCCTGCCAAACGCTGCAAGTCAGACTCTCCGGACATGGACAATGCAAGCTTCTCCAGCGGCAGCCCGCCACCCGACGACTCGTTGAATGAGCACCTGCAGTGTGCCATAGACAGTATACTGAACCTCCAACAGGGCCCTCCTGGACACGGAGGCTCAGGGAGAGGGGCTTTAGGGAGGGTTCACGGGGCAAACCTGCCGAACCAGCACCAAACCCATCCTTCCTACAGACAGTCCATACCTCCCCTCTCCACACCTCCGTCATCCACCCCCATGTCCCAGCATCCACAGGTAGGGGGCAGAGGACAGAATGGAAATTTGGTTTCACAGACGCACAGTAGATAACAGCCCCTTTAGCTGAAGTTGACTGAAAGACTGAAAAGCAGGATGTCAACGGATGGGGGGGAAGCGAACGGAGACACTTTTCCCATGTTCAGCTGTGTTTGCTTTGTTTGTCTGTGGTTTGTGCTGATGAAATGTGTTCTTTTGGTTTACATATGGCCCTTTAAGTGTACATTCTAAAGTATAAAAAGTGCACTTTGATATGATTTTCAAAATTTTGTCCCTCTTTGTTTTTTCCTGGGACGGTTCCCCAATTTGTGAGAGACAAAAATATATCACCATTCATTTAATAAATAATGTTTGTAATTACTGTGACGTATGCAGATTGCAGGAACTTTAAGTGATATCATGAAAATTGTCATATCGAATAGTAGTTCATTTGTTATTTTTTGAGAGACCAATGAATCACTTCTCCCTTTGTTAGAATGCCCCCCCCCTCCCCCCACCATGTAATTATATTTTTAGGAACTGGTGATCACTGCATCGAAGCTGATTAATAGTGCTCAGTCTCCCCAAAGACTTGAATTCAGTTATTGGTTGTCTAACTACATTAATTAACAATGAAGCATTCACAAACCGAGAAGTCACCAGAACTGTAAAGCATTCCAGCATCAAGAGCACATTTACAAATCAAACATACAATAACAGCACAGCAAATTTGGGTGATCCTTCGGGGAAAAAAAATTATTTTGGGGAGAATATTATTACAAGCTTGACAAACAAGTAATTTTTGTAAGTGCAGACACAAAGCCTCCCTCATTCATGTTTTTATTTTTATTTCTCTTCGTAGGCATATGTATGTTCAGACACTCGTACACATTTAAGATAGACTCACTGAAAGATCTTTGAACCGTTCAGAAGCAAACACAGCGAAAGCAGTGACGTGGAAAAAAAGAACAATAATAATGTAAAGAGAAAAAAGAAAATAGAAGAACTGTAAGAATTTGAAGTATAGTACTACAGATTAATTTTGTATTGTATTTATTGTGTATAATGACACTTTTTAAAAAAACTGTACATTTAGTAAAACTGTAAATTAAACCTTGCTTCTTTTATGAAACAATCACACCTTTTGTTTGCCTTTTTTTTTTTAAGATGGAGTGTATTTGACATCATTGTGTACGTGTAATGATCTTACCGGCCAGTAGGTGGCATCGGTTAATCGAGTCAGAAAGGAGTGCAATATAGATGATCTGCCATGTGGTCTTTCATGCCAACAACATCAAGAGTCACGTGAACGTGTGCTCTGCTAACAGATCTCTAGATCAAACAAAAGTCATAATAGAAAACGTTGCCCCATGATGAGCATCCGTTGAAAGGCGACGAGCATTGCCACACCCTACTTTATGTAAATGAATGACTCTACCTATAAAATGCTTGACTCCACCTTCGCATGTGGATGCTCCCCCTCAACACCCTGTCCCCACCCTGCTTTAAACCCATTGTCATCACTCGCCTAAAACCAATCAGCCATTCTGGGCTCTCCCCTGCTTCTGCGTCAGGCAGTGTTTGAAGAAGAGGTGCAGAGAGAAACGTAGGCAGGGAAAGAGGCAGTACTTGTGTGCAGCAAGAGACAGAAGCACGGGCAGATCAAGACCTCTCCTCTGAAGAAGAACCGTCACTTGAAACGTTTTACTTGGTGCTTCTCCTCCAGTGCCTTGGACAGATTGTTCCTCGCGTGTAGAAACACATCCAGAGCCAGAGAAAAGACTGGCTAAGGTCCGTCATCCCTTCAAGTACTTCAACCTGAGATTCGGCATTCGCAGGTAAGAGGACAAATCTTGGATTTCTTGGGATGTTCCATTGTTTTGTGAGTTACACTTCTGAATAAAAGAAAAGGTTTAGAGCAGTTGATGCGTGCATTGTTGAAACCCACCAAAAAAGGATTAAACATAGGAGCAAATGCCTCTGGCCTTTCCTTCCTTTACTGGCACACATCAGTGTACTGGTTCTGTATTGCTTCTGGAAATGATCTGAAGCTCATGAGGCTTCTCCCAAAGAGTCAACCTTCTGTTGCAATTGTGGTGAAGGATGCCACAAGGCATTTTCCATCTCCTGCGCAACATGTGAGTCCTATTACATAAAGGCAAATCCCAACCATTAACTTCTTTGCCAAGGCAGCTGTGCTAAAGTTGAACTTTTAATCTGACCTACTATAGAAACTTTCTTTTCAGTTGTTAACTAAGGATGGCGCAACTTCCATTTTGATTCAGAATAAGTTGTCTGGAAAAGCATAAATCATTCCCTCCCAAAGAAGGGAGTGTTTAGAATCGACATGTGTGCCAAATGCGCATTAGGGGAATTAATGCAAGATTCGGTCAGAAACACTGAATCTGCTTGTGTTTGATGCATCACTGGTGTATTCAGCCCTTTACACACCGTAATCCTTCACACATTTAACTTTCCACTGTGAGCCGCTGCTGGAAAACATGGCTCAGTTTTTTCAATATACGGAAGTTAGTTATGAATGTGTGTTTGTGGACTCAGAGTTTGGGTGGGTGTGTGTGTAAGTGTTTCCAAAATGAGCACCAACTTTTTCCAGGGACATGCATGGACAATGCGCTCTACTTTCCCTCAGGGCTAAAAAACATTTCTTAAGATTCTCAATTTGAAGGTAAATGGAAAAGTTGGACATTTTAATGGGAGCAAGGCCTACTTACCAAGAAATTATTAAGATCAAATAATATGGTTAGGAAAACACCTACATATAGCATATACTGTATGCAATTTTGTTCTAGTTTTAACGTTCTGTTTTCTCTTTGTTTTCAGGCAATTTTTTTTTTTTACTAAAACAGAAGAAACCCGGGGGTTAAAAATTATATAACATTGTATAGACATAAATACTGTAAGCAAGAGAAGAGTCTTCACAGTCATCCCAGCGGACACGTAAACAGTGCAAAACACAGCCATAAATTAACTGCAAAGGAAACTCTGAATACTCCCGTAAGTTTGCAAGATGTCACGCTGGGGACGTAAGAATGTCAAAAAGGCCCCTGAGGTGATTAGGACAGTGACCGAGGGCCTTAAGTCACTCTATCGAAAGAAACTCCTTCCCCTGGAGCAGTACTACTGCTTCCATGACTTCCACTCACCGAGTCTGGAGGATGCCGACTTTGACAACAAACCCATGGTGCTAGTGGTTGGACAGTACTCCACAGGAAAGACCACGTTTATCAAGTAAGGGTTCTTTTAAGGGGTTTAAAGAGTGGTTCACTTTTAAAAAAACTTTTGCTGATAATTTACTCACCCCCATGTCATCCAAGATGTTCATGGCTTTCTTTCTTCAGTCGAAAAGAAATTAAGGTTTTTGATGAAAGCATTCCAGGATTTTTCTCCATATAATGGACTTGGTAACTAACTTGGTAACTGGTAACCAAACGGTTCAAGATCCAAATGAGAGTTTCAGAGCAGCTTTAAACGACACCAGACGATGAGTAAGGGTCTTATCTAGGACCCTTCGAGTCATGACTCGAAAAAAGATTTGTTAATTTTGAACAGGAGAGTCACGAACGCTCATCACAGAACAGAGCAAGGCGAGCATTTGTGCTTATAAAACTGAAACGTTTTTATTTATTTTTGAAATGACCGATCGTTTGGTTGGATGAGACCCTTATTCATCATCTGGTGTCGTTTAAAGCCCTTTGAAGCTGCACTGACACTCATTTGGACCTTGAAGTTCATTATATGGAGAAAATCCTGGAATGTCTTAATTTCTTTTCGACTGAAGAAAGAAAGACATTGACATCTTGGATGACATGGGGGTGAGTAAATTATCAACAAAAGTTTTTTTTAAAAAAGTGAACTACTCCTTTAAGAGCTTGGATAGTGGCATTAGTCCACTCGTGGTTTAGACTTTTGGAGATATATACTCTTCATTACGTTGGTTTGATCTCTGTATTCAAAGGTTATTCAAATTCAAATCAGATTATTTAGCTGGACTTAAACATCAGTTCCATTGCGTTTTGTCCATCTACTGTAGTTGACAAGGTTATTAAAGACTATCATGTCAACACTTAACCACGTCTTCGTTCTGTCAACACAGGTATCTGCTGGAACAGGACGTCCCAGGGAGTCGCATAGGGCCGGAGCCCACCACCGACTGCTTCACCGCTATCATGCACGGAGACGTGGAAGGGCTCATTCCTGGAAACGCCCTCATAGTGGATCCCAACAAACCCTTCCGCAAGCTCAACCCCTTCGGAAACACCTTCCTCAACAGGTGAATAGATTCACACCGGCAGATGTTACGCTGAGCCGCTATGTACGACATGGCATGAGAGATGAAGGCGGGTTGTGTGAAAGAATGTGGCCACTGATCCGTCTGCTTACACTGGGCACGCAGGGAAGATAACAGAGAAACAGTGTGTTAGTTTTTGCTCTACGGAATTTCAAGTGTCCGTGCCAAATTTCTAAGGGAGGAGGGACTTTCCTTATTTGTGGAAAACTTGTGGAAGGGAGAGATATCACAAGAGAGGGCAAAAGCACAGCTGTAATGGGTGATGACCTAAGAGGTGTCAGAGTCCTTAAAGAAGGACTAATTTCAAAGTTTGTCTTTGCAGAAGAAAATATTTATGTTTAACATTTTCTTAAGATAATGGAGTATGCCAGGACATTGCTATGGTGTTGCGAGCATTTTTCAGCATGTTTCTATACGGTTGCAAGGGTGTGATTGCTTGGTCACTTAGAAAAAGAAACAGAATCATGTAGTGGGTGCACAAATCATGGGGGGTGCACCCCATGTTTATTTATTAGTGTATTTTTAATGCTTTTAAAAAAACTATTTTTGTTACTCCTTGCATCCATTTTAGTGTAAAGTTTTACAATTTCAAGGTAAACGGGTAAATATATCATGAATTATGAATTAATAAATATCATCACATTTGGGGAATCACACCACATGACATTTTACTACCTAAACTAATCTTGCCTTGACCTTAAAATGTAAAATTAACTGATATTTTAAGAAACTTGACCTTGGGGGAATTTTTTTTCTCTCCAAATATTGAACAAAGTAGTAAATTAGATATAGAAATAATAATAATATATTATGCCAAGCTAAATATTTAGATTTTTTTTTTCTGATATCACCCTGATATGTTTTACTACGTGCCCCTCCAAAATATGCTCATTGTAGAAGACGTGTATTCAAGTCACTGCATGTATGAATTGCATATTTATTTTTTTATATTTTTTAATAAATTTGTACATCTGGACAAAAACAAAAAGAGCATTGACCCTAATATTTAGAATAAATCTCGAACCCTCTGTGTGAACGATAATGGCAGTGAAGCTTGCTTTAGCAAACTCCACTTATTTGGTGAATTAAGTAAGAGCCATGTCTGGTATTGAAATACCAGGCAGTAGTCAAAGCAGTGTGAGGAAACTAAGCTGAAGTTCAGGTCCAGGTCATCGGAATACCTTATTGCTCTCATTAAGCTTGCCAAGCGAGTTTCAACATAATTAGCGTGTAGTTGTCTGTCAACACCAAAGGAGGCGCTATTTTGGGTCCCAGGGAGAGTATTTATCAGATCCAGTTGTCCCCTGTTCTTTTTGGGTGTATTTCTGCAAACATGTTTTGAGAACTTTTTTTCTCCTACTTCCTGCCCAGGGAAGCAGTCCACTCATTAAGCTCTTTTAAAGCAGGAAGAGACCATGTTTTTCTATGCCGCAGATCATTAGTGGCAAGTATTGTTTGATTTTGGCAGTGCTGGTCATTTTCCCTCAGGAAGCTCTGTGTGTTTCAAGCACCACTTCCACACAATGGACCAGCCTGGGTGGAGTGACGCTAGAAGTCTGCGTCTTAGATCACACACAACAGCTGTTATAGGAGTAATGGATAATTTTTTCAGCTTTTCTCAGGGGGAAGTGATTTTAACTAAAGAGCTCCTGAATGTTTGATAATTGTGCTGTATCCTTTTAAAGGGGCGATGAACTGAGAAATCAAATTTTCCTTGAGCTTTTGACATCGAAGAGATCATCATATTATAAGAACATCCTGTAAGTTTCAGAACTGAAAACGTCCTTGTTAGTCCAATAAAAGCTTTTATTGACACCAGGCTCAGCAAA